ATGTAGTATAGGGTTTTACGGCGCTCGCAACTGTTAAGGTTATCGTCGCCATGTCATGTAGTTGTAGTGTAGGGTTTTACGGCGCTCGCAACTGCTAAGGTTATCGTCGCCATGTCATGTAGTTGTAGTGTAGGGTTTTACGGCGCTCGCAACTGCTAAGGTTATCGTCGCCGTCATTCAACATTGCAGTATGTTAAATTAATTTAGAAAAAAATGAAAAACGAATATCTTAGAGAGTTTCATGAAGCAGATCAGTTGGGCCTAGTCTCGTCCCTCTTCTAAAAATAGTAATAGATTGAGACAAATTAATATAATTTTAGTTTCAATATCCAGTCTGGAAAGAATTTTTTTTTTAGTTAATCCCAAAAACCTCTTTTTCTTTTAGGCAATTGTAAATGTAGGTATTTATACACCGCCATTGATACAATTTAGATCATTTAGGAGGCGGGCTTCAACTCTACCAGTCAGAGCCAAACCTGGCTGCAAGGGATACACTATCCCAGGAGAAAGACACAGGCACTCGAGAAAACTTCTCCTAATTCGGGAATCAAACCCGTGTCTTCTGCGTGTGACAACAAAGCATTTAAACGCTACACCACAGGTGTCGATCTGAAAAACCGCATAAAAAAAATATGTGTCACGACACGGTGGAACCAGGCTCTCGTCAAATTTTGGCCATGTGGAGTTAGTGAAAGAGGTGGGGGTCACCTGGTTTCAGAGGTAAAATTAGTGAGAAAATGGCCGCCAAAGATGAGTTCTTTCCTTAGCTTGAGAGTCCGCGGAAACTGAAAAGTGACATTTTTGTGAGCCTTAATCAACGTTTTTCCAGGAAAATCCACACAAAAATGTGTTCTTTAATTGGATTGAAAAGTGTTTCGATAAAAATTCAAAAACATGCGGAAAATGCCAATTTCTTCACTTTGATTTTTAAGACGAGCGCCTGATTTCACCACGCTGCCTCACATATGTTGTTGACATACGACAATGAGGAATGATGGTGCTGTGACATAATACTTTAAAAAAAAAAGTTTTTTAATCTATTCTAAGAATGGGGGGCTGAAATGTCTTTTTACCTGTGACCCTGTGCACACTGGTAGCCGACATCAGATTCATCGTTTTTTTTAAAGCCAGAGCTCGAAAGAGTTTCCTTTATCATGGATGGATCATCGTTTTTTTTAAAAGCCAGAGCTCGAAAGAGTTTCCTTTATCATGGATGGATCATCGTTTTTTTAAAAGCCAGAGCTCGAAAGAGTTTCCTTTATCATGGATGGAACACAAGCAACTATTTTGGCACAATACGACCAATTCGAATCGCGACATTGAAAAACAAAAATTGAATTGAATTTAGTTGCATATTATTGTGCCAAAATGGTTGCTCTTGCCTCATCTATGAAAGAAACATCGGGCTGGCCT